GCAGAACTGAAGAGATGCTGTGCGAGATGTGGCTTGTGCGCGCTTCAGGTGTGAGTCAGACAGCAAGACGAGACGGCAAAGAGTTGTTTTCTGCAACTTATTGCACTTAACTCTTTAACGTCAAGCAATTCTCTGCTATATGCGTCGAACTAAAACTTTGACCTTTTGCAACATTTTGATTTAAGTAGCCTATTATTAAAATGATTCAGTCAGCCCTTGCGATATGCATATTGCGATATTTACATTTGCGATATTTCGATAATTTCGATAAATCGTGCAACCCTAGTAATTACCATGGCGCATGTCCAAAATATCCATGTTGGGACAATAGAAATGTCAAACATGTGTCATAATCAAATTTTCCTAGTTTTATTGCTGTCATTTTTTTTAGTTGGCAACTTCTGTTTTTTTTTTTTATACATATGTGGTCTTGCGGTAATAGTAACTATGAAAGAATAAAAGTAGCTTTCCTGCAGCTCAGACTGAAGAGTACTAGCAATGCCGACGTCATGGTTTTGATTCTCTTAAACTAATCGAATGTAAAGCTTGAATGCAGTACAAGTTGCTTTGGATAAAAGTGTCTGCTAAATGTGGAATATAAATTAGGCCTGCACGATAAATCGCATGCGATTATTTAATGCGCATCTTGTCAGTAAAGCCGCTTCTGTAATCAGCTGTAAATCAACATCACGTGCGTGCTTTCAGATGGAGCAGCGTTTACTACACAGAGCCGTTGTTCACTGACAAGCTGCGCAAGTCATATATGAACGTATTATATATATGAACATATATTACTGACAAGATGCGCATTAAATATCGCATGCGATTTATTGTGCAGCCCTAATATAAATGTAAAATTAAAGCTGCAACCCATGTTGAAAGGGCCCTCGCACCTGGAGCCACCTTCACCCGGTGGCCTCAGGAAAACCGTGAACGGTGGGCAATATGCATTCAAAGTGGTAAATATATGAGGAATATGTCAAAGTCATTTATTGCTGTGGAATGCTTGATTCTGATTGGTCAGTTGTGACATTCTGAGGTCTGTTATCCCTCGATAACAACCGGTAAAAGCTGATAACACAGGCTCATCCGGGTAACTGAAATCAGCGCTATACTCTTGCTAGGAACAGTTGTGGAAGCTTTGTGGAGACGGCAAAGAGTTGTTTTCTGCAACTTATTGCACTTAACTCTTTTTAACGTCAAGCAATTCTCTGCTATATGCGTCGAACTAAAACTTTGACCTTTTGCAACATTTTGATTTAAGTAGCCTATTATTAAAATGATTCAGTCAGCCCTTGCGATATGCATATTGCGATATTTACATTTGCGATATTTCGATAATTTCGATAAATCGTGCAACCCTAGTAATTACCATGGCGCATGTCCAAAATATCCATGTTGGGACAATAGAAATGTCAAACATGTGTCATAATCAAATTTTCCTAGTTTTATTGCTGTCATTTTTTTTAGTTGGCAACTTCTGTTTTTTTTTTTTATACATATGTGGTCTTGCGGTAATAGTAACTATGAAAGAATAAAAGTAGCTTTCCTGCAGCTCAGACTGAAGAGTACTAGCAATGCCGACGTCATGGTTTTGATTCTCTTAAACTAATCGAATGTAAAGCTTGAATGCAGTACAAGTTGCTTTGGATAAAAGTGTCTGCTAAATGTGGAATATAAATTAGGCCTGCACGATAAATCGCATGCGATTATTTAATGCGCATCTTGTCAGTAAAGCCGCTTCTGTAATCAGCTGTAAATCAACATCACGTGCGTGCTTTCAGATGGAGCAGCGTTTACTACACAGAGCCGTTGTTCACTGACAAGCTGCGCAAGTCATATATGAACGTATTATATATATGAACATATATTACTGACAAGATGCGCATTAAATATCGCATGCGATTTATTGTGCAGCCCTAATATAAATGTAAAATTAAAGCTGCAACCCATGTTGAAAGGGCCCTCGCACCTGGAGCCACCTTCACCCGGTGGCCTCAGGAAAACCGTGAACGGTGGGCAATATGCATTCAAAGTGGTAAATATATGAGGAATATGTCAAAGTCATTTATTGCTGTGGAATGCTTGATTCTGATTGGTCAGTTGTGACATTCTGAGGTCTGTTATCCCTCGATAACAACCGGTAAAAGCTGATAACACAGGCTCATCCGGGTAACTGAAATCAGCGCTATACTCTTGCTAGGAACAGTTGTGGAAGCTTTGTGTTTGTTTAGCTAATAAAATATTAAAACTCAATTCAATATTATGTGTACAATTATTTAATGTCATCCTGGTATGGCGGACTCGCTCTCTCATTTTATACAAACGCAGCTGCTGCCATTTTGCGACGATTGTTTTGTACGCTGTAATGGATTATAAGACAACTAACAAACTGGTAAGATTTTAAAACATTTCCATCTTAAATCAATATCTTTTATCGCCATAATTATTTATGTGGTCAAATATTGTGTAATAAGTGGTTTGACTGCACCGTATCCCTTAATTGTCTGTCTCGTTTGAACTTGCCGCTTGCTTACAACTGCTGTGTTCACAGAAGCTTTGTGTTCAAATATTTCATCTGCGCTTCGTGTCGGGGTCCTGATCACCCTGTCGGGGGTTATTCTGCAATAACAACCGGCTGGATGTACATTATCCCTTACTTATATGTGCCAAACTTCCTGCTGCCAGTAGGTAGCGCTATGACTATAACTGAATATAGACATGTAGACGTCTTCAGGCCAGGACTCTTATCAATAGGGATGTAACGATTCACTCAACTCACGATTCGATTTGATTCACGATTTTTTTTTTACAAAATGAGATTTAAGACAAATTATAAATTAAATGTGTCCTTTTGTTATTGCTTGTTATAATATTATTATAACACTATAATAATATATTACTATAATAATAATTCTAGTGGTCGACCGATATATCGCCAAGGCCGATATATCGGCCAATATTTGACATTTTGCAGATATCGGCATCGGCCGATAAGTTTTCCTGTTTGGCCGATGCGTTCAAGGCGGGACTTTTATTTTGACGACGCTGAGCGCGGCAGCGACTGAACACACAATGCTCACATTCTCCTCCCCTTGTTCGCTGTTGTCGTTAACAGTTCTGTCTAAATACGGATAGAAGTGTTCTCTGCGTGATGGTCGGTCCGTGTGAATTGAATGCGGACAGGAGGAGAGTTCAGCTTCATTGAGACGCACGATCGACAAACTTTAAACTCATGATTTTAAATTATGCTGCGCTTTATGCATTTGCCCACTGCCATATTCATGTCATTTCACTGTGTGCTGTATGTAAAATGAGTGTTACCTTGGCTTTATTTGAAAAAATATGATTCCCAATGCACACAAATTTCCCAGAGTACCGAGTTCCCTGTTGGTTACAGTTTACTTACTTTTTAATTATATTTTTATTAAATATTTATATTTATTTGTGAAATATTCTTTGACATCAAAA